AAAAAAAAAAAAAAGTTGGGCAGGACACCTTATGTCCTAGCTCTGCAGCTTCCTGCTGGTGTGACCTCAGCAAGTGACCTCTGAGCCTCAGTTTCTCATCCGTAAAATGGGAACAATCCCAGTATCTTTTTTAGAGTTCGCTAAGTTAAACATTTAGAGAATGCTTAGCACAGTGCCTAAGCATACAGCCCACCTAAGGAAGTGTTGGCAGTCACCAGCACTAATGACACTGTCACAAGCCGACGAGACCTGTGCCCATCACCAGTGCAGAACACCACAAATTACTTTTCTCTTCCTGCTGCTGCTTGTCTTTTAGAAACTATGAAGCTTGACAGTTGCAGCGTAGGGAGGTGGTTGGCCACAGGAAGACCTGCCAACCTCTAAATGGAAGCCGTGTAGCTACTAAGGAGGACAAGCCCACTCCCAAGATCTGGGTCTGACAACCCACAGTGTGTGAAAAAAATTTCCAGCTTCTCCTCAAAGGACTACTATCTATGATATATAAAGAACTCAAAAATATTCCCCAAAGTTTGAAGAGCCGATCCAGAAATGGGCATCTGAGATGGACACTTCTCAGATGTAGAAATGTAAATGGCAAACATATTTTAAAATATTCAACGTCATTGGTCATTCTAGAAATGCAAATTAAAATAACAGTGAGATCCTATCTTATGCCAGAAAGAATGGCTAGTATCAAGAAATCAACTATGGGCCAGCCAGATAGCGGATTAAAGAGCCTGCTTAGGCAGACACAGGGGCTGGGAGTTCGGTCCCCAGCATGCAGTGCCGGCCCCACCCCCAGGGCACACTGAGCTGGCGATTGAGACTGGGCATGTGCCTGTAATCCCAGGGCTTGGGAGGCTGAAAAATAGGAAGGATCACTGCAAGTCCGATCTGTGTAGTGAGACAGTGTAGACCTTGTACTAAAATATAAAAAATAAATAAATAAATAAGAAAAAGAATCAACTAATAACAAATGCGGTGAGGCTGTGAGGGGAGAAGTGTTTCTTCTCCACTGCTGTTGGGAGTATGGACTGGTGCAACCACTGTGGAAATCAGCGCGGTGACTCCTCAAAAAATTAGGACTAGAGGTCCCATTGGACCCAGCTGTCCCCCTTCTGGGTATCTCCCCAAAACAATCAAAAGCATCATACCACAGTGCATAGCCCTGTTTATTACAGTTTGTAATAGCTCAATCTTGGAACAGGCCAAATGCCCATCAGCTGATGACCGGATAAAGAAGATACACTGTCCTTTTAATACAATGGAGTAAAGACAATAATAACAATACAAGGGAGTCCTGTGCGAGCAAGAAGGCTAAGCTGGAAACGTTCCGAGGTAAGTGGAGGCACCTTCAGACCATGCTCTTAAGTGGCATAAAGTGGACACACGTTGATAAATGCTGCACCGCTTCTGAAAGTGTAGACACGGCCCAAAATGCCTAGTAGATATTGGGAAGCAGGAAGAAACTGTCCAAATGGGAAGGGGAACTAGGGAGGGGGAAGGATGGAAGGGAAAAGGGAAAGGATAAAATGGAAACAAGGCTTTTGTAAATAGGGAGAGGAATAGGGAAAAAAGAATCAAGTCACATCATGTATAGGTACGAATTCCCTATTAGTGAATGTAATCACTATGCACACCTAAAATGTATTGGTCGAGGGCTGGGGAGATAGCTCAGTGGCATAAGCATCTGCCTGGCAAGCAGAAGGTCCTGAGTTCGATTCCCAGTACCACAAACATAAATAAATAAATAAAATGTACCGGTCAACTTAATAAAGAAAAAGACCTGGTCTGAGCTTTACGAGTCTGCACAGGCAACTCCGCTGCAGCTTGCGTCACGGCCTGTCTCCTGCACAGCTGGCATGCAGTCACGGGGCTTCTTCAGAATCTATGCTTTGGTTTTTAAAATTTATTTATTTCCTTATTTAATTTGGTACAAGGTCTGCCTACACAGCTCACATTCAGTGATCCTCCTGTCTCAGCTTCCCCAACACTGGGATTATAGGCATGTGCCCTCATACCCAGTTTCGGGCCCTGGGGTTCTAGGGCTGGCACAGCATGCAGTACTGGGGGTCAAACCCCGGCACTTGCACTTGCCAGGCAGGTGCTTAGACGGCCAAGCTATTTCCCGAGCCCTGAATCTGTAATTTGTGACCGATTCATTGTGAAACACTGGAATTACGGTGCTGGGGTTGAGGCTGGGTGACTGCCGATCAGTCCCCAACCAGACAGGTGCCGCCTAATCCCAGCAGCCTGAATAGAGTGTGAAGGGAGCAGAAGGACACTGCCAAGGTTCAGGCGTTAATTTTGCCATCTTCTGCCACCATGAACTGCTGCCCTCACCCCACCCCACCCGGAGACTAATGCTTCCTGCCCATTGCCAACAGGGATCTCGGGAGTTAGGGGAGGGGCGCTGACCTCGCAGGAGCAAGGAGGATGTCAAGTTGGCCGGAAACTAGATATACACGTTGGGGCTTTGCAATTCAAGCTCGAAACTACTAAAGCAAAGGAGGCAGATGCGGAGGCTGCCGCGTTAGCCCCTAGAGCCCTGGACGTGATCACTGCCCACTCGAGCTCTTGCCCAGTCGCACACAGCGCCAACTGGCCAAAGCTGGGGCTACCAAGAGCGTGCACGTCTATCTACTCGACTTCAGGGAATAGCAGCCCATTTCTAGACATATTTCAGGGGTTTTTCAATAGAAGCTAAAGGTCTTGACTTTAATATACAATCTCTCAAGTTTTAAATGTAGGATGTTAATTCTGAAAATATTTAAACCACTGGACCAGCCAAGGATAGCCAAATGCAGGCGCAATGTTACATTCTGACCAGTAGGCGGCAGCCTTGGATATGGCTGTATTCTTCCCATAAGAAGTTTCCCAGCCCTGCAAAAAAGGTCCCCAACTCTCCCACAAACTCAACTGCTTTTGAGTATAAGATATAATATAAAGTACAGAGTGGAATACAGAAACATCTTGGGCCAGCCTGAAACCCACCTTCCTATCTGAATGCATGTACACCTTAATTTCAAAACAGTCTACCCTGTTAATCAAAGAATAACATAAATACATGTAAATTATAAAAAGCAAAAACACCAAATCTCTCAATTTGGAGGTGACTAGTAGGAATAATGTGCTACATTTCCTTCCAGGGTGACATAACAACGAGTTGGTAGCATCGTTTTACTTTCATAGATTCAGATTAAGATCTGGCCGAACCTCGGGCCTTCCCATTCCATGTGGGAGAGGCCAGTCCCTTCCCCCACACTTCCCCAGCTCCACCACAGTTAAAACATTTCGCCCCACTAATAAATGGCAACGCTGTGTTCCTGGCATCCCATCTCCAGCTTCTCTGACTGAAGGAGACTGCATACTCCTTGAGGTTTCTCAGACACACACCAGACTCTGCAATAGGGGGAAACACATCACTGGATCGTTCATCCAAGAATCCTCTTACCAGTTTTTGCTGCTCAAACATAAGTTTTTTATAGAAGAGATGAAACTGTTCAAAGCTGAGCTCATCTTTATGTGCGCCAATCTCCTGTAAATATATATATATTTTTTTAAAAAGACCACATGATGTTGGAAGTCCACCGTGAGAATGCCTCCAGCTCATGGCTCCACAAGTTGCCTAACCTGTCTGGGAAACCAAAAGGGACCCCCCACCCATGAGCCCCAAAAGGGAGAAATCCTCACTTCCAAGTCATAATGGACATCTCCTCTCCTGGGAAGGAGACACTGTCTTCAGATTTCTATATCCAAACATATTTATAAGGAATGTACTTAAGAATTATTTTTTAAAGCAAAATTTAAAAAAAAAAAAACAACACCTGACTGAATCAGCAGCCAGAGCTCAGCTAGAGCCAGTTGCCTTATGCAAGTGGACCCTCAGTTTCTTCATCTGTAAAGTGAGATGACCATTGCTACCCTGTTAGGGCTTTCTCGAAACCAAACAAATTAATATCCACAAGTGCCAAGCTGCAGAAACGCTTGGTAAAGAACAATATTCCCATTACATGGCGATCAATGGAAACGCTTGTCACATCTGCCTCTTCTTAAATTCCGCCCATCCCTTTCCTATGGGAATTAGCATGGAAGGCTTGGGGTGGCAAAGGATGGCCTGGCCGGCAGTGAAATGGACCAGCTCACTCAGGAGCTCAAGAATACAGCAAGAAACGACCTTCTCCAGCAGCGGCCAGAGCGCTGTGCAGACACAGGGGCTCCTTCTCTGATAAGCATCAGTATCCGTGCGGAGTGTGCTCACTCCTTACCGCCATCCACCCCTGCACCCTCCAGAAAAGGCCCATCTACCCCCCTGCATCCACTGCTCCTGGCGTGCTTCCCTGTCCTGCTCTAGGGTGACATGGGGGAAGACAGGCAGCTAGAGGAGGAGGGGAAGGGGAGAGCCGAGCCTCACGGGCGCTCTAGCAGGGCTTGCACACACAGCACCTGCGCCCTGGTGCCCTACAGAACGCATCTTTCATCACGTTTTGCAAAAGACACATGTGCGCATGCGCTCGTGCTTTTAGGAAGAAGGAAGACTGAGGGAAGGGGCGGGGGACAGGTCTGCGTGTAAACTTCCAAGTCAAATGGCCCAGCAAACGCAGGACTGCACGCTTTTCAAGGACTGGACACACGGTCCTCACATAGACAGGACCTTGCCAGGGAAGGGACAGACATACTCTAGACACAGAGGAGCCACATGCACCAACCCATGGAGCTCCAAGGAACTTCCTGGGTTCCAGGGACAGCTGCTAAGTAGCCCTGAGATCATAAAGAGCCCAGGCTGAGCCACAAAACTTACCACGAACTTATCTTTGAGGAACTTGGCACTGCTCACTTTGAAGTTGACCAGGGGTAAGATGGCCTTCAACTCTCGGAGGCTGATGCTGTAAAAGAGAAAAAGCGCCACCTCCATCAGTCGAGGGCTTCCGTAGTACAAGGTGCCAGCCTGTGCCATCGGCATCCGCTTCAGGGTCCCTCCAGAAAAGCACCTGGCTCACGGCTGTCCGCTGAGCACCAACCAAGATCAAACACTCAGGTGGAGGGTGAGACAGGACGGAGGGTCCAGGGCCCCCCAAGAGTTGCCCGTACACCCATGGCTCACCCAGCCACATCAGACACCCCACAGCAACTCCAGGAGCATTTGCAGGCCATGGTGTGCTTTGGCCCCGAGCCCTCCCAGGCCACACCTTCTGTGGAGTCCCTGCACTAATTTCAGCCTCCGCACCCCTGCCCAGCTAGACCCACAAGGGGCTCCTTCCAGCCCCACGAGCTCACAGAAGTCTTGCCCTATCCAAGCCATGCCCCGTTTCCCTCAGCAGCTTACCCATGGGCTATTCCTATGCTGTAGCTTAACTCCTAACAAGGCCTCCTCTGGATGTCCCTATATATTCCTGATTTCTATCTCAAGTAGAGCAGGCCAAGCTGGTACACTAAGAGCTGCTAACACCCAAGCCCCTGGCACCAAAAGTAGCCAATAGCCAAGCCAGTCATACGGAAAGCAGTTAGCCACTAGAGGATAACAGATGACAGTGGAAATTGTTGGAAGCCACTGCGTTCTGTGACTGTAAAGATGCCCCAAGACTGGCTGGCACTTATGCTAAAACAGCTCATAACCCCGGGCACCCAAAGTTCCAAGCAGTTCGCACTGAACGAACTGCACTTTGCTGGCTCACGAGTCCTTGAGCGAGAGCCTCCAGCTAACGGGTGACATCTCAGGAGCCTGTGCAGGGACCCTCCCCTTCACAGGCCCAGAGAAAGAAGACGACACTGACATCACCAGCAGGCTCGAGAGCCAACCCAGGTTTGATTTCCATCCTACACATGGCAAAGAATCCACACCAACCAGGGACAAGGGGACACCCTCACAACTGCGACTGGCCGTGGAACAGGCCCTGCAGAACATCCAGCAAAGGCAGAACAGTGTCAGGTATCAGGGATGCACAGAGGTCACCAGAGAGAGACAGGAAAGGAGCAGCAGCAGCCAGCCCCGGCTATGTGCCACGTGTCCCGTGCTCACATCCCCCCCTCACAGTGCATGTCATGGCCCCCAGGTTCAGGACACGTAGGTCATGGCATGCAGCCTGTAGGCAGCAACAGAGCTGGGTTGGGACCAAAACGGCCATCCAGCCAGAAGGGCTGCTCCCAAATTCAGCATAAGAGGGAAAATGTGGCTCCCAGGAAAAGGGAACAGGAACAGTAATAAGATAACTATAACCACAGCTGAAGCCCTCTGGTGCCCGTCAGGCACAGGAGCTTTGTTCTAGGAGCTTTTCACATACCTCTTTGGCTTAAAAATCTCATGAGACCAGCCATCACTATTTCCACTTCTCCCTGAGCAAGTTGGAGTACAGACAGCCAGGAGCCTTGTCCATGCCAGGCCCAGACTCCAGCCCACGGCTGCTCTGCTGGCTGCCCCAGGGTATGGCACACACAGAGAAATGAGATGGTAGGATGGTCACGGGCATGAGGTCCAGGGGGCTCTGCCCATAGCCAAGCAGCTGGCAAACTAGAGAGAGGCGTGATCAAGAAGAAAGCTGCTCCAGGGAAGAGCAGAAAATGGCCCAGTGTCCCCAACACCGTCATCCTGGCCTTTGCTGTCACCTTCAAAAAAAACATCTGGGTACCAGGCAGCAGCTCTTCCTGGAGAAGACTAGGTAGACGCTGGCCGGCCCAGGGTCCCACCTCCTGCATCCTAGTTCTGGTGGCCTCCTGAACATCAGAGCCCTTGACCTGCAAGATGCTCCCTGCCTCCCCCAGTGCAGGGCTATACCCTCGGGTCTCCAAGGACAAAATGGCCCTGAAACTTAACCTGCCACCCTGACAGGAGGCAAACCCTTCCACCCCCCACCCCCCACCCCTGCTTTTTCTATTAATGCCAACAACAAACATTTTAGTGTTGAATGTTTACTACAAACCAGGTGGTACTGTCCATATACATTTTTGTATTAACTCTCTGAATTCTCACAACCAACCCTGGGTATGAGGTAAGGACTCTTATCTCTCTCTTACAGAGGATGAAACTAAGAAACAGGAAAATGACATCGTTTGTCCCAATTCACAAGACTAGCTAGTGTCCGACCTGAGGCTCGAGCCTTAGCACTGCCGACATGATGGAAAGGTCCTACAGCCATGCTGTTCCCTGGCCACACAAGGCTACTGTCACCAAAGAACGGATTGGTGAATTTTACTTAATTTTCACTAACACAGTTTAGCCACATGTGGTCAGTGCCAGACAGGTTAGCTGCAGAGTCCTGATTCTCTAAGGAGTTCCTGCACCAACAGCAGCAGCAGCAGCTCTATCACTCAGAGATTCATTAAAATGCCAATTCTTCAAAATGCCAATTCTTCAGCCCCAGCCCAGCACCATCACATCAGACACTAAGAAGATGGAGCCTGCACCCTGTGTTTTAACACACCCTCCGAGAGGCTTGGACACACGCTTGGGTTTCAAAATTGCTCTCTAGGAAGCCCAAGAGAGGGTCCACCCTGGCTTCCTAGTAAATGTTTTCTTTCTGATTCCCATGGCCAAGGACACATCCAGGATGAGGAATCCCCAGAGCTGTGACCACCCCGCACAACAGGTGACTCTATTGCTCTGGAGCCTCAGCCATGAACCACATGAAAACTATTTGCATTCAAGGACATAAATGGACCCACACCTGGCTCCCACTGCGAGGCCCTGCCCACACCCTCCTCGCATGAGTGTGTTCTCTTGTGCAAATTCAGTACTACACGCCTGGGTGGCAGGAGAGAAGGGCCAAGCTCCCTAAGCAGCATTTCAATTTCCCTCCCACAGAGGCCCCAAGAGCCCTGCAGCTAGCGCAGCCACATCAGGTGCACCAAAAGCCTCCATCATGGACCTTTCCCAAGAGCCCACCCTCTCTCGCTGTCTGCGAGGGGAGCCTCCCCTACCTGCGAGCCCATGGCTGACCCTGCACATGCGTGGGCCTACCTTTCCTGCATAAGCAACCTCTTTGTACCCTCAGCAGGTTCGCCCCAGAGCCATTCCCCAGATGCTGCAGCATAAGCACTCATGAAGCCTATTCCAGATGGCGCGTTTGTGATTTTTATCTTGAGACACAGTGCTGAGCTGCACAAAAGAGCAGGTAACGCAAAAGTCCACAGTGTGTGGGCAGCTGGCGCCAGTGACCCTGAAGGTGGCTAGCAGCAGAGAACAATGGAGAATTCCTGAGAGCCACCCAGAAGTCCCCAAGGCCCGCAGCTGCAGGTCCTGAGAGCCAAGGAGGGTCACCGACACGAAAGCTGACAGTCAGTGGCATTCAAAGCCCACAGATATTAATGCGGGTAGAGCTACACTCAGCCAATTCGTGATTTCCATCTGAACTGAGCAAGATCCCCTGGCCCATTGGCAATGCATCAGAAGCCACCATAGTGACTTTAGAGACTTTAGTGGTGCTGAAGAAAGATGCAGCCCAGCAGACCCTGGGGACACTAAGAACCCACGAACGCGAGCAGCTCCACAGGGAACTGAACAGACATCTGCGCCACTGTGTCTGCAGCTGAGTTATTCACACAGCCGAAAGGAGGAAGCCGTCTGGGTGTCGGTCGAGGCTGGATGGATAAACGCAACGTTCTAGATGCCCACGATGCCGAGCTCACAGAAAGCCGGGAGTCCTAACACACGCCACAGCGGGGATGAACTTGGGGACCTCGCCCTCAGTGTGAAGGTTTTCTCCTGCTGACATGAGGTACCTAAAATAATTGAATTCAGGAAGACAGAGAGGGGCGGCTTCTAATGCGAAGGGGCGCGGGGCTGCTTTCTGGACCGTGAGCTGGCTCTGGAGATACGCGGTGCTGGGCGACTGCACAATGTGCGTGCGCTCACTTCCACAGTACTGAGCACCACGCTCCGGTTAGCGTCCGCTGTACATATTTTACCGTGAAATCTTTGTTCCTCTTCTTTTTTTTTTTGCAGAACCAGGGATTGAACTCAGGCCCTTGCGCTTGCCAGGGAAGCGCTTATTCCACCAAGCCATCTCCCTGTCATTTTTCCATGAAATCTTTGAACTCATTACGATGTTGTGAGTGTGAGAAAGCTGAGATCTCTGCATTTCCCTCATTTTCTTTGTATTTTAACCTTTGGAAATACATTTGGCAAAAACAAAATAAAAGGTGATCTTTTCTCCCATGTCTTTAAAAATTAAGAAATCAGTCTTGGCAAAATAAAATATATTTGCATCAACTCTGTGCTTTGTGCTTCTCTAGCAATATAGGCCTAAGTCCCTGTTCCTTTTTAATTTTCTCCTGACATACAGGTATCCCTGGCTTTCAAAAGCAAAGTTTAATTTGAAAACTAAATAAGTCAAGCCTCGATAATGAGCCTAAAACCCTGGCTTTAAATGAATGACTAAACTCTGCTGGGCCTCGCTGGGCGCACTTAGAAAATGGGCACTGCAGTGGGCCTGCAGCGTCGGGACATGTCGGGCTTGGTGCGGGGCTGCTGCAAGCGAGCTCTCCACCAACGTGAGCTGCCACTTTTCTGCCCGGGGAGAACCTGAGAAGGGCCCCGGGACTCGGCCACACACTGGGCCAGCGGGGCACCTGCTTCCCCGGAGACAGCCCTCCCGCCTCTGCCTCCAGCCCCCAGGTTTCCCTCAGGAAACACCATTAGTCAACCTGCTGTGGGTGACAGGAAGGGAAGGAACTGGCGGGGCTGACGTCCGTCACTCGTTTGCAAGCACCTCAGTCAAAGCTCCTTTTGAAAAACCCTCTCTGGGAAGACATGGGATTTTCCATGTGTAGATGGAGCAGTAGAGCGGGGGCACTAGGAGGGAGGGGACACGGGGACAGAGCACACAGCTGGCCAGGACCGCATCCAGGATGGGGTGTCCTCCCTGTGAGGCCCAAGGACAGCCGACAGGAAGGTGCCCTACGCAGGACTTAAGGGGTCCGCCCTGTATGAGAAGGCCACCGTGTGTTCCTACACAGCAGAGCCAAGTTAACGCCCTGGTGCCACCACTGTGGACACAGCCATGGCCAGTACAGCTCCTCTGTCACCCTGTGCCTGTCTTCCAGGGTGAACCACGTAGGCCACAAAGAAGGAAAGTACTGCTGCGAAGTCACAGGCCTAGGCACATGGAGGCAGCGTGGACAGACCCTGCAGCCCGAGGACCGCTCTGAGCCACCTCCTGACACCAGAGGGCAGCCAGGGACCATATGCCAGGAACACAGGGCACACTAGGGGAGAGGAGAGGCACGGTGGGTGCTGAAGCACCCCAGAGTTAACTTCGCCCAGGCAGGGGCCACACCCAAGCCTGAGGCCAACAAGGGGTGGGCGACACCGCCACACATGAAGTCTCCTTAGGGACGGAAAGACTTGCAGGAAGGAAAGGGGATGACAAGGACACACCTAGACTAAGGACAGACAAGAGGAAAAGAACTCTGGAATGTCAACCATGATGTTAAGATGGTACTGCGAGGTGCTCAGCCGGTGCATGGCAGGCAAAGGGCTCCGTAAATGATACTGTCTGCACCTCCCTATAGTAATGACAGGACCGTGACCTCCAAAGAGGAGAGAAATGGAGGACAGGATGGCCAGCCTGACCCAGAGAGAAACGGCCATCACCTGCCGTTTCATCCACCCAGCTATCAGCAGCCGAGGCTGGAGAGCAGTGCCGTCATGACACAAGGATGTCCACAGAGGTCATCATGCCACCTGCACAGGACACACTCGGCACCAGGCCCCACATGCCACTGCCCTGGCCTACAACATCTCTGCACAAGGCTGCGCAAAGGCAGCCTCCGAGCGTCTCACGGTAGCATGGCTCACAGCAACCCGGCACGGGGACCCTCTGTGCACGTCAGTAAGGAAATTACTTCAAGGACTACGCTGTGTTCTCTCACCTAAGGGAGAACCCAAACCTCCTATCTGTTAAAGAAAACGGCCAGATGCGGTGGTGCACGCCTGTAATCCCAGCACTCTGGGAGACTAAGACAGGAGGACTGCAGGTTCAAGCCCCTCCTGGGCAAATTAAAAGTTTCAATTTAATGAAATTCTGTCTCAAAAAATCTAAAGGGCTGAGGATGTGGCTCAGTGCAAAGTCCCTGGTTCAGTCGCCAGGACTGAGGAGGAAGAGGAAGAGGAGGAAGAGGAGGAAGAGGAGGAGGAGGAAAGAGGGAGGAGGGAGAGAAAAGGGAGGGAGGAGGGAGGAAAGAGGGAAGGGGAATGGGAGGGGGAGGAGAAGGGGCAGGGAGGGGAGGGGAGGGAGGGAAAGAAGGCCAGACATAGTGTTGCACATGCTCTATGGGAACTACTTCACAAGGTAGTGAACAAGGGACAACACGATGTGTCACATATCACCATCCACTTCTGCCCAGCCCTTCCACCACTGCCATTTAGCTCAGTTCACTCCTTCACAGTCATTCTCCCTTGCCATGAAGTGTGGCACCACAGCAATCACATGTCCTGTGTCCCTGGGACATGGAAGGTCCTCACACATCTGTACCAAGGCCCAAGGGACCAGCAGCAGAGACATCAGCTCTGCAGCTGGATTCTCCTTTTCTGCTGGAGCAGGCCCCACGCACACAGGGCCTGTGTCCCTGCGGAGCCGGGTCTCCAGCACGGCAGCTGGTGCTGCATAGGTCACCTGTGACCTCAGGACCTGCCGGCCACAGAGCATGCGCCGGACCCCTGCAACTTTAGCCAATGAACGGAACCTCAAGGGTACCAACAACAGCAAAAACGTGAATAACTCTTACCTGTTTCTTCTGGTTTGATCTACTGAGTAAATCTGCTTTCGCAGCCAACTGAAAAGAAATTAGAGACCAAAAGGAGAGAGAAAAATCAAGTTAGGAAATAACATAGGTCTCAGGGAGCTCTACAGACTGAGGACAAGAGACAAAAGGTTCTGCCACCTTCCCCCCAAGGCCACCACGTGGTGCCGGTCCCTGTGGTTGGAGACCCCTGACTGAGCCTAGGAGGTCCCTCCCACAAGCAAACACTGGGTCCCCGTGACAGTCCCCTCTGATAACAGTCATTAATCCCAAAAAGCTGGCAAGGAGAAATGATGCCAAGTGGAGGCTCTGGTTTCTGGGAAGAGTGATTCACCCCGGAGTCCCACCAAATCCCTCGGCACTGAGCAGGTAGGCCAGGAGGGAGGAGGCGACAGGCTGCAGGGCCAGGCCCTGACTCTGACTGCCACTCACTGACCCCATTCCCTGGCACAGCACCAAGGGCTGTTTCCAACTCAGCTCCCAGGCAGCATCGCCCGAGAGCCAGGATACAAACTGGCACCAGACACAGTCACTGTGCCATGCCCAAAGCTGCTATTAGGCACCACTGCATGCAGAGACCTCGGGGAGACTCAAGGAGCTAGGATGCAGCCAGGCAGGCAGAGCCCGGTACCTCTCAATGATGGTGGGCGTCGACGCGCTCCTTGCTTCTTGGTACAAGATTTTCAGGCCTGAGAGCCACCTAATTGCATCCTCTCTGGAGTCAGCTAGAGAGGGGATGGGAAGGCAAGCACTATGTTAATGTCAGGCTGGGAAGATCTAAGTGATCTTTAAGGACTGAATCCACAGGCAGAAGCCCTAACTCCGATGGCACAGCTTTTGGAGACGCAGCCTTGGGAGGTGAAGTTTCACGTAAGGTCTTGAGGGTGGGGCCCCCACAAAGGGATCAGTGCCCTTCTCAAGGAGAGAGACCCCCACTCCCTCTCCACCCGTGTTCACACTGAGAAGGCTGCATGAATACATGGGGGGACCCCTGTCCAGAAGCCCTGAACGGGATTTCACCAAAACCACACCACCCCAGCTCGATGTTCTCAGACTTCAGCCTCCAAAACTGTAAAAAACTGAATGTCTGCTGTTGGAGCCACCCAGGCTGGGGCCTTCTGTCATAGCAGCAAAGCAACCTGAGTTGGCGCCAACATGGGACTTTAGACCGAAGTCCCCTGTGGCCAGCAGGGCGGCACACTGATCCATGAGCAGGAAAGCCAGGACCTGGACTGGACTCAAGCAGGCTCCTCAGCTCCAGCTGTCCAGGAGAATAATCCCTGGGGGCTCCCAATATCTATGCCTCCACAAGGAAGAAAAGTCAGAGGGGAGAGCAGGAAAATTCCTGCTGGGGTGTGAGCTCGGGCACCCCTGGACTTAGTGTCCTCTGTGGTCATAACACACTGCCACAAATCCAGAGGTCAGAGTCTACTATAACAGGTTGGCAGGTGTCATGGTTCACCTCTGACACGACCCCCAAAGTCTCTCGTGTCAGAGGAGAGGCTTTCTGAGGATGACCGGCCACGGAGGTGCTGTACTCTTCTGGGGATTAGTCTGTGGGTGACTTCAAGGCTGAGTGTGCTATCAGGAGGCAGGGCCATGAGGAGGAGGTGGGTCCCGGGGCCCCCAAGATATCTGCCCCCACAATCCCAAGTGACCCTAAGTGAGCACTGGGTCCAGTGGGGGCCAGGGAAGGGGGAGGGAAGTGACACCACTGCTGGAAGAAATGACACGAGGGCGGGGGGAGCACAGCCTCAGAGAGGAGGAAGACAGTCACGTGGGCCAGTCTTGTAGGTCCGTCCAGCCAGCCTCTGCCCGCATGCTGTCGCCGGATACCTCGCTGCTAACGCCGTGAATGCCTGCAGTCTGCTGCTGCGCTCCCCACTGCCCCACATGGAGGAGGAAACTGAGGCTCAGGTGGGCCTGGGCAGTGAGGGAGAAGCTGGGATCTGAAACCAGGCCTGGAGCTCAGAGCTCTAAAAGGACCCCAGAGCGGGCCGGACACCGAGCTCACACCCCAGCCCCAGCCTGAGGCTCCTGTGCTCTCCTTCAACAGCAACAGCCAGTACTCAGCCTGCAGGAGGGGCTGCATGGCCAGAGCTGCTCCGGGTCACAGTCATAGGCCCCCACCCCACCCCACCTCTGCCACCTGCCCCCCACCAAGAGCTAGCCTTTTCTTCACCGTCACCCACTGCCAGCTTGCTGCTTCCCTCTGGGCTCATGCTCAGGCCATGCCTCCCCTGGACTGCCCTCTTACTCTCCTTCCAACTCCTATGGATGCCTCAAAACCCAGTTTAAGATAAGCCAGGCCCTTGCAGAGCCCTCCCTGGCATCTGGCATCTGGATCCCTCCTGCACTATGCGTGCACTGCAGCACTGATCGCAGCCTAATTTCCTGCCACAGCTGTGAACTCTGTAAGGAGAGCAACAGGATCTCTTCTTCTCCACTACAGTCCACAACCTAGCAGAGAAAGTGTGCTTAACAGATGGGCTTGGGTGCTGCTCAGTGATGGAGCTCTTGCCTAGCAGGTGTGAGGCCCTGGGCTCCACCCCAGCTTGATAAAGAGATGCTTGATGAAAGAAGGACAAATCAGTAAGATCTGTCAGAGCCCTCATTAGATGTCTCTGTGTGCTCAGCTTCCACGTCCTCTTGGCCTGCCTTCCTGCGTAGTTTATGATTCAGCTTCTCCCATTGGGCCAGCCTGGACAGACACTGTCAACCCAGCCATGAGAGGTGGCCTGAAAGCAGCACCGCTTCCGCCCTGAGCAACTCCCTGGGCTGCTCTCCTCTCCCATTCTGGCCTCCCAGGCAGTTCTGCTGCTCTTTGATGGATCCACAGGGACAGCTAGAAAGCGCATGCATGTCACTGGGGCCACACATGCCTGCGTGCGCACCTGCCTGCACCCATGAGATCCCAGGAGAGCTCTGGCTCAGGCTCACATCGGCTAGGCAACATCTGCTGGAGGAGGGAGGGGCCATCTTTATGCCCAGTGGGGCCTGGCCTGTACTGAGCACGCTTGTTACCATCTCGTCAACTCTCAACGCGAGCCAGGCAGACAGCACCCCTCCCAGCCCCACAGCGACGTGGGCGTGATTGCTCTCCCCATTTCCCAGCTGAGCAGCTCAGCAAGGTCACACAGCTCGCCCGAGGACAGCAGGCCTGGGATTCAAAACCGTGAGGCCCCCGAATGCATGCTAGTGAGTGGGCAGCTATGAGCAGCTGCTACCAGAGAACTTCTGCAGAAGGAAACTTCTGCTCAGAGCGGAAGAAGAGCAGACAAACGTGCACCCACTTGCCAAACTGAGTGTGCTGAGGACGAAGTGGGTGCCATAAAAGATGGTGAAGCAGCAGTCTTCCTTGTGGCGGACAGTTTTTGCGCGCTCGAAGTCCTTGGAGCTCTTCCCTGGGCGAATCTCCTTGATTTCCATGATGTCCACTAAAAGGAAATAAACACGAGCCAGTGAGAAGCCAGTGCTCACTGCACCCCAGGGTGCAGCATCAGCTCCTCTGCCCCAGGAGACCAAGGCATCTCTGTGCCTGGATCCCCGGCCTAGCTCGGGTCTCCCCCTCCTGCAGGAGGACAAAGGCCCAACGGCCAGGCCAGGCCCTTGCCACCAGCCCACGAGCCCCTGGAGTAGGCCGTCTTGGGGTTTCTCTTGCCCCTCCCCAAGATGAACGAAGCATTAAGCTAGGACACGTGCTATGGCAACGGAACTCCAAGGCGAGGGAGACATGGGATGCTCTGCCGAGACAACAGACAGCTGCCGCTCTGAACAACACACACATTTAATGTCCACTGTCCAGGCCGTGCTGATCTTTTCCCCAAGTCTTAAACGCTAAAGTGTTCTTTAGTTCAGTTCAAAGGGAGGGCCGGAGAGATAGCTCAGTAGAATAAGTGCCTGCCTGGCAAGCTCAAGGTCCTGAGTACAATCACTGGTACCACAAAGAAAAACAAAAAATTCAAGGGGAAAAGGAAAAAGAAAGCACTGAATACTATTTTTTAAAAAGGTTGGGGCAGGAGCCAGAATGTAGAGAGATCACGGGAACTCCAGAGAGCACAGGCCGACAGGTAATGGACAGCGTGGACACTTACACTGGTGGCCCTTAAAAGGCTACAGCTTCTGGTATTTACGTCTCATGTTATCACTGGCCCTGGAATCCAGGCTTTCCCTGTCATCGGCTGTAACTCAGAAATTGTGGCAATGTGGTGTGGCGAAGCTGGGACAGTCCCGGCCCCAACCCTCAGGAGGTTGGCAGCTTCCCTTCTTGCACTCAGGCAAGCTCCCACCTAAAGTAGGCCACTCTGGGACTGCCAGGCTGTGAGGAGCCCCAGGAGCCAGCTGGAGGGTCCTCGCAAGGACAGGCAAGGCCCCCCCGGGCAACAGCTGGCAGCGAGTGGCATCACCTTGGCAACGGACCCTCGGTCCCAGGTGAACCACTTCAGCTGCTGCCTCGGAGAGCAGAAAGCAGCTCTCCCAGCCCCTGACCCGTGCCACAATTGCAGAATTAGGAGCTCCTTCCTGGCTGCCATGAGATGAGCGGATTTCCTCTGCCATGCCCTTCACCATGCAATTTGCATCGGTGCCAGACAACCACACAGCTCCTTTAAGGTACGACTAACTTCTCCTCTTAAGCTGCAGGCCCAGGTGCTGTGGGCAGCTCCAGGGGCCGGTACACTCCCCAGCCAGCTGACGGCCAGGCCAGGTCCAGCAGGCACTAGCAACCCAGCTGCTTTTTCTATCTAGTCTAATGATTCTTCCCCCACCACAGGTTTCTAAGAAGGACACAGGGAGCTTTTATCCTTGCTGTAGAATTACAATAAAATCCTGACACTTCTCGTGCTGCCGCCCTGTCCCCCAGCAAGTGCTCAGCACTATGGGTGCTGCTTCCAAAACCGCTCAGGAAGCCTTCACACCTTTCCATTTCCTGAGTCAGCCCCTCAGCCAAACTGCTGTTACACCTTCCACTGCCTGCTGAAGTCTCCTCCCTCATGCCACTGCTCGGCAGCAAGCCCTCCAAAGCCATCCCATAATTATGAGGATGAAGGACCACACCCATACACATACACACACACATATACGCACACATACACACACACACACACACACACACACACACACACACAGATGCAGAACAACCAAGGAAAGAAAGCAACCAGACCCACAACAGCCCCTCCAGATGCAGACAACCCCGAGGACCTGTGCCCAGCATCTCACACTGGCACCGCCCGCACCCCTTGAGGCCAGGCCTGTGCTCAACCAGCCACCTCCATCACTTCCCAGCCAGCCCTCAGATGAGTGTGGGCTTGCCCCCCACACCTCTGAGCACACCGCCCTTCGCCACTGAGCTGTCCTTGCTCCGTGGTCAAAGATCAGCCAGTGACACCTGGGCTGCCTCATCACTGGTCCAGCTGTCTGTTCTTTTGCCAACGCCAGTGTCTTGATTACTGTAACTCTGGGTAATGTGTTCCTTTCACTCTGTCCTTCTTCAGTACTGTATTTGCTACTCTGGACTTACAGCCTTTCCGTGTAAATTTTAGAATTGGTCAATATACACAAAATGACTTGCTGAGATTCTGTGATTAAGAATTACTATAGATTGAGTTTCCCCACTCCCTGGTGCACAACTCCTAAAGTCCTTAGACTCTCCAAGGTCATGTATCTTACGTACAATCAGCCTCTGGAATATCTCTACAATAAGCGAGCGGTGAGTGATAGTTCCTCTGGGTTCTCTGAGCCACTCTTGCAAACCAACTGAACCTAGGAAGGGGATCAAGGGAACCCCAGCTTGTGGTGGTCACTGAGAAGCTCAGGTCACAACCTGGGGCTTGGGAAGTGTGGGCAGCTTTGGGGGGTTGAGTCCTCAGCCTGTGGGATCTAAAGCTGTCTCAGGTAAAGTGTCACCTTTGACGGGGAATCAGATGACACTCAGCTCATACAAATCCAGGGCAGATATGGTGAGAGAATAGCAAGGAAAGAGAGGGCGCAGAAGGAAACCTCCGGGCTTGCACTTTCTAGAGGTGAGGCACTTGGCGCTGTGTTGAGAAGACCAATGGGGTTTCAATTAGGATTTCATTGGGACTGTGTTAAATCTACAGACCCAGCCAGGAAGAACCAACCTCTCACAGTCCTGCAGTACTGAGTCCTCTTATCCGTGGACGTGGGCTAGGGCTAGCTGTTCATCATACTTCTCAGCAGTAGCCCTCAAGGGTCCTGCAGACCCAGGATTCTCATCCTTCAGGATGAACATAAAGGCTAACAAAGACAAACTCATACAGAGCACTTGCTACAGGCTAGGCACCTGCTAATGCTCAGAATGCTACATTGTACAGCGGTTCTCTAGGAGCTGAGCCAGAGGCAGGGACTCCAGTTCCAAGTGATGACAGAGAGAACTCTTCGAGGCCATGGTCCCGAAGGGCTGCAGGCTACGGTGGCCAGCCTCTCGCCCTCCCCATCAGCAGTCCCTGGGGGCTGCTCCACAGCAAGCACAACCTTGGAGCTTGACCACAGTGAATGTTATCAGACAACAGGAAACGTGAGCCCCGCAGCTATCATTGCCTATCCCACCCCCCTCATCTCCACAGTGGCCCATAGCAACCACGAGCCTATCCGCAGTCGCTATAGATCTGTTTGGGACACTTCATATAAATGCAATCAAATACAGCACACCTTCGGATCTGGAGTCTTTTATTTAGCATGATGCTTGCAAGACTCATCCACCCTAGAGCATGGTTGCTGCCTCATTGCCTGTCACAGAGGAGCCGTCTTCCGTTGTGTGCACATGCCACATTCTATTCACCACTTCCTGTCCGTGATGGACGTGGCTTTGGTGAGTAATGCTGCTGTGGACATTCACGTACAAAAGCACGTCTGGACACCTGTTCTCAATTTTCTGGGGTCTGTCCTGTGCAGAAACCAGTTACCTCTCAACCTCACCCTTGGGATGCAGGAACAGCAAAGGGTCACAGGTATGGTGGCATGTGCCCCTCGCGCTGGGTGCTGTGCAGCCCTGGCTCATGGGCAGGGGGGGACCGCCAGACCCTGAGTGGCTGAGCAGTGTGGCTGGGGCTCCTGGGATGAGAAGGCAGCTGTGGGACCGTCACCAAGCCCCTCCTGGTTGTGACCACCACTCCCCAGGCCCTTGGCTGTGCAGAGCTGAGGGGCAGAGGCACCAAGGGTTACCTGTCCAGCCCGCCCCCATGGCAGAGCCCCAAGGAGCCAGGAACACCAGCTGTGGCGGGTCCTGTGTTCATCAGCACAGCCCAGGTAGCCCTGCTCCTGTATGACATGCCCAGTTCGGATCCTGCAGCAGATGGGTGCATCCTGGTGGATGATGACCCTGCCACCCATGGGGTGCAGAGTTGGGAGGAAACAGGGGAGCCCACTACTTCCTTTCCTCCCACCCCCGTTAATCCAAGCATCGTTCTGACTCACAGCTGGCATCAGGGCTGCCCACTCACATCCTCCCAGAGCCACCCAAGTCCTGAGAAATGGCGTGGCTGGCACTGAGGCTGGAGGACTCTGGGTCCTGCTCGCCCGGGCTCATCTCACGTCTTCCGGCTCTCAGCAGTGCCTCCACTTCCCACGTGAGCACCAGGGGTGCTAGAGGTGCTCACACCTGGTGCTTCTGTGTGGACTGCATCTGCCCAGCTGTGTTCGGGGCCACCTGTCTGCCAATTCAGAGAGCTGGCGGTTTCTACTAACCAGGATGTAGAAATCTGTGCATCGTCACCCACACCTTCATAAACAGTAACGTCGTTTTATGAAGCTAGACACAAGTCATAAAAGACAACAGCATCTGAATTTTTATCTGTCGTGAAACTAGAGCAGATGGATCCTCATGCGCTCACAGAAAACACTCTACACTGATTTATGTAAATAGAAAAACGGAACGTAGGCTGTGTGCTCAGAAAATATGGTGAAGGTTTAAATTTTAAAAACTTATTACAGTAAAAGACACATTGTCATTAATCTCCCTCCAAATCCTGCTCCTGCTCTTCTACATCAGTCTGCCATCGAGTGCACACACTCGCCTCCTACCCTCACCATGTCTTTCGCACAAGACTTTCAGAATCAAACGATTCCTGGCCAAGAAGCAAAAGCAGAATCGCCCCATTCCTCAGTGGATTTGGATGAAGACAGGTACTAACATCAGGTACAACTCCCAGAGGTGACACTGGAGGAGGGCCAGGCTAGGACTGTAAGGAGCTGTGCAGGTGCAGCTGCACATGTACCCTCTGGGAGGTCACATGATGATGTCCTTTTTTAATCATGATCAAGACAACACTGAATCAAGTTTTAACTGATTCAAGATCTACCGATCAAGATTTAATTGATTGTATTGCCCAGATGGTAGAATATACTTAATCAGGAATCTTTTTTCTGTGATCAGCACTATTGAATCAATAAATTTTTGAAACTTTAAAAAAAAAAAAAA